TCATAACACCTGAGCAGTGCCAGAAACTCATTGACTCCATGCCACGCCGCATTAATGCGGTAATTGAGGCAAAAGAAGCTCCAACCAAGTATTGAGTATTGTACATGCTCATATTTTTCATTTTCATTTCCCTTTTTTGTATTAGCCTTAAGTAATATTCTAATTTTGTGACACACGGAATTTTGGATTTTCATTTGTTGCCACTTCAAATCATCAAAATTCAATGAAATAAACATTTGAATGCATCAGTCTGTGTGCAATGAATAAATATAATGTACAAGTTACACCTTTTGAATGGAATTACTGAAATAAATCAAGTTTTTCAAAATATTCTAATTTACTGGCTTTTACCTGTATATTAAAATAAAAACTTAAAGCATAATCAAAGAGATATTTAAAACCACTCTAATACCTTCTGAGTTTTGATCCATATCACTGGTGGTTCCTTCGGAAATAACTGAAATGAAAATAATACCAGATCAACACAAAAATAATATAAAACAATATGGAGGAAATAAGGCTTCTAAAGGAGCTTCTGTAGTTGCTAACAATGCATACTCCATTTTCTATCCCTAACACACAATAAAAAGCTTCTAACTGATTGGAATTATGGTGAAAATCAGAGATTGAAGTAGATCAATTGTTATCGTCAGAAAGATTTATAAAAAAAAATAAAAAAATTATTGAAATGTTAAAAAATTATATATTAAAATAAAAACTTAAAGCATCATCAAAGAGATATTTAAAACCACTATAATAACTATAATACCTTCTGAGTTTTGATCCATATCACTGGTGGTTCCTTCGGAAATAACTGAAATGAAAATAATACTAGATCAACACAAAAATAATATAAAACAATATGAAGGAAATAAGGCTTCTAAAGGAGCTTCTGTAGTTGCTAACAATGCATACTCCATTTTCTATCCCTAATAGCAAAATAAAAAATAGTTTTAACAGTATTTTTCCAAAATGAAGCCCCTAAAGTTACTAGAACTCATACTTTTATCTTAAGTATTACTGATTACCTGGCCCGTGTCTTCATAAATTTGCCTAAAAAGTCTGTCAGAACGCTGCAAATGATCAAAAAGAGTGCTGCCCTTGTTTTCACTAGAACTAAGCAAATAGAGTTTATCAGCCTGGTTTTGAAGTTCTTCCATTGGCTCCTTGTAGCTCAGAGAATATACCGGTACTTTAAAATCCCTTTGTTAGTCTATAAATCACTGAATGGATCAGCACCTCAATACATAACAGATTTGTTGTCAGTGTATCAACCTCCCAGGCCACTCAGGTCTTCTAGTTCAAACCTACTCTTTTCACCCAGAACTAGAACCAAACATGGAGAAGCAGCATTTAGTTCCTAGGCTCCACTTATCTAGACCTAAGACTGAAGACTGGACTGAAGTCCTGAAGCCTGAGTTCTTTTAAGTCAAAGTCAAAAACTGTTAACTGGGGTATCATGACTTGAAGGTTGTTATTTGCTTTTATGGATCTTCTATTTTATTGTTTAATTCATGTACAGAACATTGAATTATCCTTGTACTGAATTGTGCTATAAAAAGAAAAGCCTGGCCTTACTGCGGCTACTCCTGGACCAATGCTTCTGGGTTGTGATCTTTCTGTTTTGTTCTAACCCTGGTTTTGGTGGAGAGGAAATCATCTTAAATTGTAGCTTTTCTCTCCACTGTCATCACATGCTTGTTCAGTAGGAGGCAAAATACAAGTCAGTAATTTGATCCAGTTGTTCAAATAGATTTTAGCCAGTTAGCATTATGATGAAAAGTAGGAATTCAGCTAGAATCGGTGGATGTATGAACTGGAATGATTAGATGACATAATTCCGGAAATAATCTGGGTTTGATTGTCTTCTGAAGCAAACTGGGATCACATGTATTTTGGGTTGGCAGGATACAGTAACATTAAAATGAATATGAACAATCTCACCTTCAGGTTCTTCCTCGGACATGTCAGTATTTCCATCTTCAAAAAGATGTTAAAAAAAGGATTAAATATGCACAAATGCTATATTAAACTTTTATAAGCCATAATATAAAATACTTTCAAAATCAAACATTTAACCTAATAGCGTTATTGAAAATAGAACAAGACCTTATTAAGTCTAATATTTAAAAAATAAACTGCATTTTAATCACTAAATTCAAGCTCAACGTAATAACCAAAAACAGTCAGTTGCCCTAATATGGTTTAAAAAAGAGAGAATAAATAAGATTTAAATAAGATTTTAAATATTCAGAAATGCAATATCAAATTAAAGACCACATAAACCATACCAAAGATATAATTGTAGATCTAAATGCAATCTTACTTTCATCCTCCTCTGGCATCTCGTCCTCCATTTCATCCATTAGAGCTAATAGGAAGAAAAAAATAATTAAGAACAAGAAATAATGATAAAATAAAGGTTTTTGGAAGTGTTCAGAGCATTAACCTTAAATCTAAGAGTCAACAACATAAAATGGGGTAATCTGACAATTAACAGTCTGACCAAATAAAAAGAAAAGATTCTGACCTTTCTCCAAATCCTCAGGGGTGGATTCAGCAGCACCTTCAACAAAAAAGAAAACAAGCATATTTGAGATGTCCATGGATCTATTTTCTACATGTCCTTTATCTGGTGCCTGTTTCCATTGGTGACTGGGCATTAGGCAGAGTCCAACCAGGAGGCAATTTAAAGGACAGTTAGGACTATGAGAGAAAGATGGAGTACTAAGAGAAAACTTAAGCATGATTGTAGTGAACATGCAAAAAAAAACAAAAAAAAACAAAAAAAACAACTGTATATATTGATATATAAACTTTAATCTAACCTTCAGGTTGATCCGTGAACATTTTGCTGTTGGTGCCATCATCAGAACCAGCTTGTGAGAAAAAAGGAAAAGGTAAAGGCTGCTGCAGTTAAAATAAAAGCTACACAAAAACCTTTATGAGCTGAAGTGGAGATCATACTGATGTTTAATGGCAGTCGGTTTGTTATCTTCTCTTGTTTTTCTTATTAAACCACTTATATTAGTGCAGACAGGAAGACACTATGGAAGAGATATGTCTATCAAACATTATATTCTTACCATTAGAGTCTGTTGTCTGTTCCTCAGCTTCATCTGAGTTTGCTATCAGGGAAAAAAAAACAGCATTTAAATTTACAGCAGTGTAACAGCACGCAGTGCTAACAAACGCATAGAGAATTCACCTTCACAAAAGCAGAATGAAACTCACAGATCGATAAAATAAACGTATGTATGAAAAAGGAAATTAATATAGAACCATATAAACATGAAAAACTCACAAAGAAACCTGATTTTACTTACTTTCAACAGCTGAGTCCGAGGCATCGTCTGTGAAATCAAATTGCACATTTAATCTAAAATATTATATATGACACAGGATGCCAGAGACAGTAATATTAATAGAAACAGATGATATAATGCTGCAGTAAGGTATTGATTTCATGTGCAATTAGAAGATGAGCTTGAAAATGAAAGATAACTTAGTAAACTGTGAATTTGGTAAGATTGTAACTATTCATTGGCTTAAAAAGGTATTAGTTTAAATACAATTATTTGACAATAATGTTTATAAACTGAAATGAAAAAAAAGCTTAGTCTTTTCAGAGGTTGGTTGAATATGGAGCAATGAGTGTCAGGGCAAAGCCTTTCAAGCTCGTTCCACAGTCGCTCTACTGGTTTTCAGGCTCAGGCTGACTGAGTCCTGAGCTTTGATGCCATTACGGTGATCTGGGGATTAGATGACTCCCAACTGAACCATGTTTCTGCTCCAAAACCAGAGGAGTTTAGTCAGTGATCCAAGACAATAATTACTACATTTGCTGCTGGTACATGGTTACCCAGTTGAAATTAGATATTAACAGACACTGCATGTGAATATGGATCCTTCTGCTAATCCTGACCGACTTAAAATAGGAAAGCTTTGCTTTTTTGTTAGGGAGCAACAAATTTATCTATTTAAATGAGGAAGATTTCTCACCCCGTCCCTTTATACAAAACAGGGTCACACACCATCCTGCAACTAAATGTCCATTAAACAAGGTGCTGCCTCCGCTGTGCTTTACATTAAGGATTGTGTTCTCGGGCTTGCAGGCTTCACCCCTTTTTCCTTCAAATATGGGGATGGTCACAAATACCAAACATTAGAGTTTCACTTTATCAGAAGACATTTCTCTTTTTGCAAACATTAAAATATGGCATCCATGTTTATTTTGGGTAATGGCTGCTTACTCTCTGGGTGGGCTTAGTGAACAATCATAGCTTTTTTGTTGTTGTTGTTAATTACATAAATCCTGACGGTTGGTCACTTCCATGTAATTTATACTTTAAATTTAATTTATCAAAATCTTCTTACTTTAACTTGTGACTGTAAAAGCCAACAGTAAGGAAATCTGTCTTATCGACTTGGAGAAGCAACAGGTAATACATGATTGGGGCCTTCTGGGGTTAAGGATCTTACTCAGCAATGGTCTGAGTTTCAAAATTGTGACCTTTAACCTGGCTTTATAACCACTTCAATTAATAGTTTGGGACTTTGTTACTTTTACATTTCAAACAAAGAGGGAAAATATTTGGGATCTTCTTAGAAATATAGCTTACAAATCCACAACCGACCAAGATATCTGCTTTGCTGCTTTATTTAAAAGCATTTAATTTTATCGTATTGTATAAGAAGGTCATTAAAATAAACCCATCATGCAAAAATGTTTTTTTTTTTCAGTACACAGAAATATATTACCGATGTTTGTGACCTAAAAATAGCATTTAATGTATTTATGGAAGTTAAACCAACAATCATGTCTCTGTTCTCTTTAAATGACTGATTTCACCTGTATGTAACCTGAGCATATTAACTCTTTTTTTAGGATAAAAACCTCTATCTTTACAACTCAGAATTACATTTTCTGGAAAACATCTTGTTCATATTCTAATATAAAACTTTTGAAAACTGAAAACTCACAAAGAATAAGACAGCTCTGAACTATAGATGGGTAATGAGGAAAAAAAGCTTCATAATAATCTGTTGCTTTATTGGTTTCTTTAAAAATCAATGGTGATACATTATTATATTAATAGTCTCATTAATAAAAAGATGTCTGTTTAAATGTTCATAAGTAATAAAACAAACTGAAATTGATTAAAAAAGGTAAATCAAAATTTACTAAACCTAACACTAAATTCTCTTTAAAATGACATAATTTATAGATAATCACATGCTTTTAACTAGCAATAACCTTTTTTTTTTTTTTTTTTTACAATATTCCAACGGCAGTTAGGCTTGAAAAGTGTGAATATTTTAGAATGCAACCAAAAATAATGCCAATTAGGTTCATGATACTTTTCGCATCTCTGCTCCATTGTAAAAATGATTGAATAATGGTCCAATTTCCTACCTGTTAACATAAATATATTGTCTGTTTTAGTGAAATAAAAGCCCAACTATTACTATTATTTACATTTTAAGTTTCTGAATAAATGATTGAAATTGGTTTGTTTACCAGCTCGACCCTGGCCCTCTGTGTTCGAAGGCTTTTACTGAGTATTTTTGCATTTTTTATTGCCTTTTTCTTTACCTTCAGAGTTGCTCATTGCAGAAGACTGGGCCTGACTCTCCTGGGATTCAGCTAATGGATGCACAGAAAAAAAGGCATTTAAACATGCAACTTTGTGATGCATAAATAAGATTTCTTTATATGACAATAATCTAGGAAATGGCTTGAATATGAGTTTCAGTTTTGGTGCGGTGGAGATGAATACTCAAACGTACCCTGAGAAGGTAAGTCTGTTTGGTCGTTTGTATCTGTAGGAACGAAAACATGAGCGTAGGTCAACTAACGGTCAGGTAGGCGTTGAGGTAAGCACACAGATCAAGGTTCAGGTCAATGAGCATTACCTTGAGTTTCCTCTGGGTTTTCCTGGCTGTCATCTTTGGGATTAAATAAATGTTCAACAGTTAATAATGAACAATACATCAGAAAAGCAGATAACACAGGTATGGGTAATAATCCGGTAAAATATTTGGGTTAGCTGAACACTTAAGAAAAGTTCATCAAATTGTTTATACAGAAAAACAAAAGACAAGAATATATGTTAAATTTGCATTTAAGAAAATGAGACATCTAAGGAACACAAAGTCGTATGCTGAGATAGATGTGGATGAAAGCTTACTACCATTGTTGCTTGTAGCATCAAGTGAATCTGCATCAGTTTCTTCTTCTTCCTCAACTGCAATACAAAACATTAAAAGCATTGTAATTAACTAACATAGTTTTAAAAAATAAACGCAAAACATGATAAAAAAATCTCCTTTAAAAGACATTTTCCCTTATAGAAACGCTGACCTGAAGTCTCAGATGCTTTAACAGTCAGAGGAGGTTTAGAAAAACAACAGTGAAATACATATGTAAAACTGCCAGGTCATTAAATGGAGAAACAGCCATGCAGGTGCTTGTACAAATAAGTTATAAACAATTTGATAACGCCAACCTATTTTAAACAATCTTTGAATCCTGCTAAGTACCCTGTACATACTGTGTTAAAGAAAAAAAGAAACTTCTAGATTTATTACATAAGAATTTGTGTTCAATTTGATCGTTACAGCTCCTGAAAGTGATAATGCAATTTCAAATGAAATTTGATATTATGCAACCCTTATACAAAAAATATTTTTTATTGAGAAACTATGTGAGTTGGGTTCCCAATGTATAACAAAGCCTGCTGAATGAACAGCTGCTTGGCATAAAGTCACTGACAGCCCCCCATGGTGATCTACAAATATCACTGGTAAAGGAGGCAACTAAGTGACCAGTCTATGCATATTAACTGAAAGTTTGGTGAAAGGAAAACCTCTGGAAACATGAGATCAAGCAACTGAGAAAACACCAGTTTGAGAGAATAGTAAAGTAAAGCCCATTCAATGTTTTGGAGTTCCAGGTTTGGAAATCAAGGTCCTGGAGCCTCTAGAAAGACCAGAGAGAGACAGATCCATGTTGCGCAAAGTCCAGTGTGAAATATCAGGAGCAATGCTGTTGTTGGTCTCATTGGGTTTTGTCTACATGCTAAATTTTGAGGACTCCAGTTAAGCTCCATAAAGATGCTGCTTTATTTACCAGCAAGCTTTGACCCCTGCCCACACTGTCAAAATGACAAAAGCTTGTTCAGTGGAAGTGGTCCTAATTTACCACCTGAATGCCAAAGAGGAAAGGAGAGACGCCAAGGCAAGCAATACACATTAGCAGAGGTCCACTATTAAAGCAATATGAACGCCTCAGAAGAACTACAGGCTGATCAACTCCAACTGAGCCCCAAAAAGTCCTAAGAGCAGATAGTATATATGAACATGCTTTAAATAGGCTGACAATTCAATGTAAATTAGTATTTTTATCAGTCCGGTGTCACATATTGTCACACATTAGGCTGTTAGAAATGTAAAACATGTTTATTTTCTGACTATACCACAGGTAAACTGTCATACCTTTACGCCATCCAATGTCAAGTTAACATTTTGTGTAGAATAATGTGGCATAGAATTACCGTACAAAAGAGTAAATGTGGTTTTGCTTGAAGTGTAAAGCTGAAAGCTGGGAATTTTTTTAGTCTTCAAAGAAATTGAGCTGTTTACGGATATTACTCTTGAAAACATACACAAATGAAAAAAAAAAAAGGTTATATGAATATAAATCTCAAATCTTTGTCCCACCTTCGCTGGCAGCAGCAGGTGTTTCAGTCTCATCTGACTCAGCTTGAAGACAAAAAAAATACAATATTGATCATTAAACTGAACAACAGAATGGTTTAAGCGTTTATATTTTCTGATGGATTAGAATATTCTCATTAACGGCTTTAGTGAGTTCGGAAATTCAGCATTATATACAAAGAGCCAGCTGCTACTTCTCTGTATTTTTTGAATATGAAAGCAAGTATATTTGGAAACAGAAATATCTTTTGGCACTCAGATTAACTCAGAGCAAAGACAGCAAACAGTAAATCTATGTGAGGTTTTAAAATCAGCTCCTTCAAAGTGTGCTCAAGGTGTTTGCAGTCTTTGTTCTCTGTGTATTTATCAAACAAGGCTATGACTGTGCAGTTACCTGGCGCTGTGGTTGTCTGTTTACTTTCATCTTTCCCTAAAAATAAAAGGTACAACATAATTTAACCCTCTGCTCAGTACCCATGGATAATTTTTGAGATCATTCTTTTATTACCGTTCAGGTGGGCCAACAGGGCTACTTTTCTTTCTATAAGAGAGAAATAGAGGAACATGATTAAACCATAGACAGAATCATGGTGTTCTGAACTGTAGTGAGAACCGCATCCTGTAGAGGGCGCTAACTGATCATTGCTTTCTATTTCTGTTCTCTGATTGGCTGCCTCTCGTGGATTATCTTACTACAGGACCTGATTAAAGTGACAAATTGTAATGCCTACCTTCTGTAGAGTTACCTGTGAGACAAAAAAAAAAAAAAAAAAAAAAAACATCTTGATTAGTAAGAAACAATTGAAAATGTTCCATCCAAAACCTTGTCTTTTAAGGTTCTCCTAAGTGAAAAAGCCTTATGGTAAAATAATTATTTGATGCAGCAGTATAAAATATATCAAAATGATCATTTTGATAAATTCAAACTTTAATTTCAGCATATTTATTTAAATAGAGCAAAATACCATATGAGCAAGCAAAAGTTGTTTTTTGTTTTCTCTACAAAATATCCTATTCCCCAATTTTTGGCACCCAGACTAAATCGACACAGATCCAACTGAAGTATTTTTTATTTAATTTTATTCTATACTTTATTACTGAGAGAGGAGAGGTCAGTCATGTCTTTTCATATAGCTCTAATATGAAACTGGAACAGTTTTCTCTTAGCCACTCTTAAAAATGGGAAAAAGAAGAGGACATTAGATTAAAGATCTGATCATTATAAGTCATCAAACTGATTCAAGAAGACGGCTTGTGGTATTACCATGTTCATTCAGGGGAATAATTACACACAGGGAAGACTGGAAGAGTGCAAAGCAAGTCCAGTAAATCCATCTTTTTCTTACCCCATGTTCATATTAAGATGGAGGAGGAACCCCAAAAAGCCGAACCTCAAGGCTCACTAGACTGAAGCTAAAAGCTTGTGGTGGCCAGGATGTAATAAAACAAAAAGACTTGATCTACAGGCCAAACTGTGTGTCAGAGGGATGCAAAGAGAGACAAAGAAAGTCTTCTTTAACAGAAAGATTAGAGCAGGAAATGGATAAAAACAAGTGAGGTTGAATATTTGTTTCCTTAAGTGTTGGTAAAATCTAATTGTTAAAGCTTAAACTGGAATGCTCTGACATGGCAGGCAAATTGAAATAAAATAAAATAATTATTTCCCTATACAAAAAGAGGAAAGAAAATTGTGTCAAGGGTTTTCCAGGATGCCAAAAAGTGTGCAGGAAGCTGAGAGTAAAGTTTTCATAATAATAGATGTGATGCTATCTTTCATAATAGTTTTATAGCTGCACCAAAATGTGAAGATTTAGAGAAGTAACTCTTAAAATGCTAGATCCAAAGGAACAAAAATCACTGAAAAAGAATATTCACTTCTATAGGTCTAAAAAGTGGTTTGCAAAATACCATTTCACAACTGCTGCTGTGATTTATTAGTGTGGCATAAATGTAATGTACAAATCTGAGTCCTGTTGATGACGTCATGGCTTACTTTGGACTGGAGCCGCGAGAGAAACAGCAGCAAGGGCGCAGAGCAGCAACACAACACATCTAAAAATATACAGCAGAAAGAAACACCTTAAGACGTCTCCAATGCAAAGCAAGCAGACTGATTTGACTCCAGGTTGTTTGAATGCTGCCTCCCTTTGCATTAAGTTAAACAACAAGGAAGATGAGGCATATTTTTAGTCTGTGGGTAAGCTCCTTTGTATTCGACTACATCGGAAATAAAAATGTACATTTTTCTAAAACATCAAGAAAAGTAAAAAAAAAAACAGAGATGGGAAAAAGCTGTAAACAATGAACAGTAGATTCATATGAATGCTATGAATCTACTGGTATTGATGGAAGAATGGCTGCTGATAAATATCAGGTGTGTTCAGTGGCAGCAGGGGGAAACCATTCCTCAACCTGAAGGGTTAAATGACTTTCTTTGTGTTTCTCTACAGAATAGGGAAAAAAAAAAAAACCTCACAAAGCGTCTCTTCTTTTCCAACGTATAGAGAGGTACAAACTGCAATAGAAAACCAGCGCAGACGTTCAAAGAGATGGAAATGCTTTTAGCTTCTTGATGGGAATCTAATATTGAGGGCCTCAGCCTGGAAACACTGCAGTCCTTTTTAGGGGGTTAATCCCATGTGAGGAGCTCAAACCAAAACTAAAATTAGAAAGCTGGAAAAAAACCAACAACTTTGATAAAAAAAATTTGAAAAACTTCCATTAAACCAAGTCTGACAGTGAACTAAAGCATCAATGCAGCACTTTTTTTTATCAAAACAAATGCATTTTGTAAACAAAAAGGAAATAAAATGGATAAGAATAAATCACACAAGCTTACTGTAGGGAGGAGAAAAGTTTTAACAGAAAAAATATTTAAACTAATACATTAAAGACTATGAGCAAAGCTATGAAGTCTAAGATTGACTTTTCAAATAGGTAGATTTTTGAGATGAAATTTCGATCTTTTCTTATTTATTTCCTTTAGTTATTTTTAAAAGGTGAAACTTGAAAATACAGTCTGTCTGTAAACCCAGGAGGATAACAGGAAAAAAAAAAAGTTAATGAGCCCAATAAGGAGGTGTTTACTCACCGAACAAACATGTTGTTACGTTTCTCAGAAGGAAATACAACTGGGTAAGAGAAAACCTCAGTGAATGTCTGAATTCAGCTGAAGCGGTGCAACAGCATTTTATACGCCAACTCTCTTCCTCCTCCTTCAGCTCCTCCCTCCCTCCCTTCTCTCTGATCACCTGATTGTTCCTGGTAATCCACTTTAAATATAATGATTCAGTCTGATTGTTTTAGGCCAAACAGCAGCTGAATCTACTGTCCCTTCAATCCTATCACTCAGAAGAAACAGTACCTGATGGAGTTAAGAGTCAGAATAGTTTTAAAGAGACAGATTATTAACCAGTTTTTATCATCAGTAACAAAATCATATCTTATACCAGAAGAAGCATTTTAATTTAGTCACGCATTATTTGTTTTTGATACTTTTACAATGATTCCTTTTGATGAGTTATCTGTAATTAATCGATTAATTTGATTGCTGGAAAAATAGTAATATATCATGACTAAAACATTTCCTATATCTGGTCATTTTGACATATAAAGCACTATCCTATATCTAATAAGTTACATGCTTATCGTTCTCTTCTGACGCAAGCTCAGTTTTCTTCCAAGGTCGGACTGTTTTGTTTTCATCTTGGGATAAACCGCCTCACACAAAACAATGAAATAACACTTTATTGGAAAAATTCTCTGTCCCCTTGTGTCCATATTTATCTTTGCTCCCAGATAATTTTTCTTATTTCCTTTGGAAATTTTTCAGATTGTCCTTTAATGATAAATCTGATATTTAACATAGCTACCAAATAAACGCAATTCTAAAAAAGCACTTATTATTTGGGACACCTTGAAAATGGAGTTCGGTGCAGTTCTGATGGTAATATTTAAGTATATATTTCTACTATTATTACTTCCTTACATTATAAAAACTCAACAGGTAAACTTAACTCTTTATGAATGTATAAAGGTGCTCTGCTGGATAATGTTTTGGGGACATTGGAGACAATTTGAAAACAATGAACTGACAATAAAATTCTCTTAGATGTAGCCATCTGAGGACGGGTAAACGGTGCTCAAAAAGAGATGGACATTAGTCGGCAAAAATCCTCTTTACACAATCTAAGTTGGTTCTAAACGGCCTGAAGTGATTGAGTAAAAAAAAAAAAAACTTGTTTCTATCACCTGAAGCTGAAATATCCAAACAAGGGAGGATGAATCCCTGCTGTTTACACCCTATTCAGATTGCATCATCTGAATTTGCAGAACACAAACTTGAAAACATTTTTTATAGACATTGAATGAGTAAGGGATGTAACATTTCATGGAGTAATAATAGAAAATCAGTTGAAAACAACATATTGGTTATACCAGATCAAAGTTGTCCTAAACATTGGGACTGTTTTACATAGGAAGAGAGTTTTTTAATGAAAAAAAAACGTGATAGATCTTTGACTGTTTACCTGATTTACTGTGCCAAAATGTGAGGAAACACCCATAAAATTAATTTAAACCCTTTGTTCATTATTAAAAAGACTGCAATTTCAACATTAAATAAAGGAGATTATACAGAGCATACAAACAAACTTGTTAAACTTGAAAGATTGAAATTGAAAGATTTAGTTGACTTTAAAACATTTGTTGCCAGAATATATTCAGGTTGATGAGGGACAATGTTTACAATCGTAGAGGCTACAAGAACAACCATAAAACAACATTTCATTTCTTTTGTTGGTGTTGATACAGTAGGTGGAATAAACAACAACCAGGAGCTAAAAGATTATACATTATTAAGGTTTAAAAACATATTAAAGAAACATGTGATTAAAAATAATGAATCATGTGAATGTAATTAACAAAAAAGAGATATTTGGCTGTAATACTTTTTTTTCTAAAATGTTATTATAGAAGTATTATTTTCCTAAACTCCTACTTTAGTATGTATTATACAGGCAGCTATCTTTTTTTTTTCTAGTCCAAGGTAAATTAGTTTTGGAGGGTGGGCATTATATTGCTTCTGCCTAAATACCGTTTTTGGACTGTTTTCTTATCTTATTTGTATTTTATTTGTCATTTATTGTATATTTGTTGTTTTTGAAGTTACGAAGCTTTAGTTGAACTAGGCAATATTTTCCCTATCTGTTATTGCCCACTTTTTTATTGGAGGTGGCGGCCTAGTGGTCAGGGCATAGAGCTTGGAATCCTGAGGTTCTGAGTTTGAGCCCCACTCCCACAGACTGCCACTCTGGGTCCCTGAGCAAGACGCTTAACCACAGGATGGCAGCCCACTGCTCCCCAAGGGGATGGGTTAAATGTAGAGGTAAATTCAATTATTATTATTATTTTGATGACTTTGCTTGGTCTGTGGCCTCAGTTTCCTGTTATCACCTGACAACTGTGCTCTGCTACAGTACTGTAGCTCATCTGCTCCCACTCTACACTCTGAAAAAACAGTCTAAAAACAAGTAACAGTTTCCTAAAATTAGTGGATTTACCCTTAATTTGAGCAGCTAAATAAGATGATCTGCCAGTGGAATAAGTATTTTTACCCTTAAAATAAGATAATTACTTAAAAATATTTTTTTTCTAATTTAAATGCAAATTAACTTATTCCATTGACAGAGTGTCTCACTTATCTGCTCAACTCAGGAAGAAATGCACAAAAAAAAGACTGCAAGAATGCAAGAAAAAAAGACTAAGATTTATGTTTTTTGCAGTGCATGCGTAAACATGCATGTTTAGAAACTGTTTTGTGTATACCCTGTTTCAGTGAGTGGTTCTTTGAGCTTCTTTTGTCTTTCTGTCATCTTAAACCACTTCAGTCTTTCTCCTCTGACATCAGCAGGGTATTTTAATCCACAAACCTGCTGCTCACTAGATCTTTACTTCTTGAATAACTACGACCAGCCCACTTGGCACCAAAACCCATATCCCAAAAATCCACTTTTTCCTCATTCTAATGGTTAATTTGGACCTTTTCATCGCCTCTAAATGTCAAAGTGAATTAAATCACTGATGTGTGATTGGCTAATTTACAGTTGTAATCATAAGCAATTGAAAGATGTGCCAAGTAAAATAACTGATAACTGTATATACACTTGTGATAAAATCCAAGAAGATTTTTACTTTTATATGAAATGTATAAACCTAAATGAGGGATTCCTCATATGATGCAAAAAACAAAACAAAAACAAACACAAGACAAAGAAGTTAAACTGTTGAAATTCACATGTAACACAGATCATATGAAGACACTTGGAGGGAAACATAAAACATACATTCTTCATCCTGCAGAGATATAAATAAGAATTTTAAAGTACAGCAGAGTATGTTAAAATACTAAAATATACTGGTTCTGATGAGTTCAGGTCAGGTCAGCATGCAATGAATGCATCATGTTCTTTCTTTAAGCTAACTGCACCAATGTTCCAAGCAGGAAGTGTGGACAAATATATCTTGCATGATTATGCAGTTTCTGGTATGAAGATGAACAGGTTTGACAATAAACCAGGAACTACAGAAGGGCTTTGTGTGTGTGTTAAAAGGTGCTGTCTAACACGTGAGCTGATGGCTGGTAGGAACAAAGAGTACTTAAAGAAATGTTTTAAGAACACGGTTAGCAAGTTTTACAAAGGATTTAACATAGTAACCCATTGTACAGTGGTGCAGCTGGAAATGTTTTAATGGGTGGCCAGGTATGTGCTAAAGGCAGATATGTGGATAGGTGCCTCGGATTAATCAAAACTATAACAACAGGAAAATGAACAAGCACATCCTACATTTACCAAATGAGAACAAACTAGATTTTCTTAAATCACTTGCTAAAAAATAAACACACATATTTACACATCTATGGTCATGGCAACCCCAGGCCCCCCATCTAGCTGTGCCTCCGCAATTTTACTCTAAGACAGGGTTCCCTATCGCTGGTCCTAAGGGCCCACTTGTGTTTCCCTGCCTCTACACACCTGACCTGAATGAAAATGTGATTAACAGGCTTTTGAAACATTTTTTGGCTCCCAAAGAGGTAATCCAATCATTTGAATCAGGTCTGCTCGGGTAGAGCCACAGGACGGTGGGTCCTGTGAACCAGGTTTAAGAAACACTGGTTTAGAAACTGAACTTCTTAATACTGTTCTGGGTGCTAACAACATTTTTGAGGAGCGTCAGCAACAGTACCGTCATCTCAGATATCAGAATTATAGTCACCACACAGCGGAGATATTGGAATCTGTCCTTAAAAGTGAGCTAGATCTATTTGCACAGGGACAAATAAAAAATTAGATTTCTTTTCCCTTTCTCACATCGAAGCAAACTTCTTGGTTGAATTAAAATCATTTTAAATCCAAATTTTGTAGGTAAGAATTCTGCTCTGGTTACCAAAGATTTATATTAAAATGAATTATATAGAAACAAATGAAATAATAATTCCGTAGCTTAAAAATTTGGCAGTAAAACATACTTTTATATTTTCTTTAGAGGAAAAAATGTAATTTTTTATAGCAAAAGCGTTATAAATATTTCATTTTTTTGGCACAAAACAACTAATCACAATCAGGAAAGATTTTTATTATTTATCTAATACTGTCAATAACATTTTCGTGGTCTAGAACTAAAAGTTAAGGAGTTGTTTTTTTTTTATTTAAGGAATAATATTTAAGCTGTAAAAGAACTGGAGTTTTGAACTTTGGAAATAAAGTTGTAAGAAATGTCAAATAATGGAAGAATGCATGTAGAATCTTTGGAGACACGTTTTACATGAAAAACTTGAAACAACAGGAGGACTAACATAAATGAAAACCCAGTTAGTTTTTAATTAAAGTTATAAAGCACCACAAATCAAAATCAACACAAGTTCAGAGGAAAATGCAAGTAAAGATACATTGATTGGAAAGTTCCTTCAGTTTGCAAAAGGTGTAACTTAGACATGTTGGAAATGTTGGCTGACTACTGGTTTGCCACTGGGTTTTAAATAATTTGGGGATATTCTGAAATGGTCTTAGTGCTTCCCCTGTATGTTGAAATGTGGTTACTGCAGTAGCATTTTTCTAATGGGGAAAATGGCGCACCTTTGGTAGGTGTTTACTAATAGCCCCACGTTTAGGTATAAAA